TTTGAATTTTTGCCGGTCTTCTGCTTTTTCAATCGCTTCAGGCGACGCTCCAATAAGCTCTACGCCGTAACGCTCCAGCACACCGTGGTAGTGTAAATCCAGCGCGCAATTCAGGGCAGTTTGCCCGCCCATCGTAGGCAAAATTGCATCGCAGTGCTCTTTTGCCAAAATACGCTCGACCACTTCACGCGTAATAGGCTCTATATACGTAACGTCAGCCATATCCGGATCAGTCATGATCGTTGCGGGGTTGCTGTTAATTAAAACAACCTCATAGCCCTCCTCTCGGAGCGCTTTGCAAGCCTGGGCGCCGGAGTAGTCAAATTCACAGGCCTGCCCAATCACAATAGGGCCGGCGCCGATAATCAAAATGCGGTGGATGTCAGAGCGCTTTGGCATAGTCGAAGTTATAAAAGAAAAAACGAGGCGCGAAAAAGGCAGAAGTTTAAAAAAACAACTGCAAGCAGCAGATATAAAAAAAATGCAGGTTAAACCTGCGGGTTAATCCTCAACCGCAAGGATTTTAGGCTTTATGCTGTTTCATAAGCTCTGTAAATTGGACAAACAGCGGGTCAAGATCATGCGGACCAGGAGAAGCTTCAGGGTGACCTTGGAAGCAAAAAGCGGGGCGATCCGTTAATTCAAACCCTTGAAGCGTGCCATCAAACAAAGAAAAATGGGTAATACGTGCATTAGGCGGTAAAGAGGCAGAATCTACGATAAAGCCATGATTCTGTGACGTAATCATTACACGATTGCGCTGTATATCTTTGACGGGATGATTAATACCGTGATGGCCATTTTTCATTTTCAGCGTTTTTGCGCCAAGCGCTAGCGCCATAATTTGATGCCCGAGGCAAATTCCAAACATCGGCAGCTTCGTTTCTAGCAGTTCGCGCACGGCTGCAATCGCATAGTCGCAAGGCTTGGGATCTCCCGGGCCATTCGACAGAAAAATGCCATGAGGCTTATAACTTAATGCTTCTTTGGCACTGGTCTTAGCAGGCAATACAATGACTTCACAGCCGAGCTGCGCCAGCTTCCGTAAAATATTATGTTTAATGCCATAATCAAAAGCAACTACACGGTAGGTCGCTTCTGTGAGTTGACCGTAGCCCGTATGCAAACTCCACTCACTTTGCGTCCATTCATAAGGAACCGTAGTGGTGACGTCTTGCGCTACATCTTTACCTGCTAGCCCAGAAAAACCGCGTGCAAGCTCCAACGCCTTTTCTGCAGTGGCGCCAACACCCGCCAAAATACAACCGTTTTGGGCGCCCTTATCTCGTAAGAGGCGAGTTAATTGACGCGTATCAATTCCGCAGATCGCCACCACACCCTGTTCACACAAATAATCAGAGAGCGTTTTTTGCATCCGAAAATTTGATGCAACTCGTGGCATATCGCGCACAATTAAGCCTGCAGCTTGCGCGCAGTTCGAATCGTTATCTTCAGCATTCACCCCCACACTACCGATATGAGGATAAGTCAGCGTAACAATTTGCTGCGCATAGCTTGGGTCTGTCAAAATTTCCTGATAGCCTGTCATTCCTGTATTAAAGACCACTTCTCCCACAGCTTGCCCCAATGCGCCGCAGGCTTGGCCATAGAAAACAGTGCCATCAGCTAAAGCTAAAAGAGCAGGCTGGGAAGGGGGCAAAATAGGCAGCATTACAAAAAGTTCCTCAACACAAAAAATATTTTACGCGCGGCAAAAATGACTTTTATTTGCAGCTGGTTAGGGCGTGCCCTAACGCACTGAAACCGAAGCATACTCCATCTAGAGGAAGATGATTCTGAACACTGCGCAACCGTAAAGAAGGGTCCCGTTGGACCCTTTCTTGGACTATATTAGACAAGTTCATTGGTTTAACTTGAAACCATTCTAAAGCTTTGTTTATGATTACCTGGTCTATGGACCTATAGCACTCAAATAAACTTTATATTTTCAAACGGAAAACTTCAATATGCAATCCGCTTCAAGCAAACCCTATTTACTTAGAGCACTCTATGAATGGTGCCTGGATTGCGGTTACACGCCTCATATTTTAGTGCATGTAGATGCACACACTCATGTGCCCAAGCAATTTATACAAAAAGGCGAAATTGTTCTCAATATTAGCCCCGACGCCACACACCAACTCAAACTGGGCAATGACTGGATTGAGTTTAATGCACGATTCGGTGGCATCCCTCACAAAATAGAGATCCCAGTGAGAAATGTGCTGGCGATTTATGCACATGAAAGTGGCGAAGGGATGCGCTTCCCTTTAAGTCAGCTCGAATCCGAAGAGACCACTGATGCACCACCCATTGCTACCCTACCCTCTGACAGACAATCCACCACGTCTGCAAAGTCGGATGAAAAAAAGGGCAGCCATCTAAAAATTATTAAATAACTGGTGTTACGCAGATATTCAAAAAGACAGTGGTTTGCATGTTGGGGTTCGTACCTCACCACCAACCTACATTCATGCGTAGGTTGGTGGTGACGAAGGAACCCCAACATGCACGCTATGGCGTCCTTGCTAACCTGCTTACAGGTTGGCTCAAAAATAAAAGTTCGTGGTACGCATGTTGGGGTTCGTGCTTAACCCCAACCTACCGCTGAGTGGGCAATGGATATATTTTCACTTTGGTACGCGCTCTTACCGCTGCAATATATGCATTAAATTCGCTCTGACCCGTTATCTGAGCTAATTGCTGTTGAGCTGAGTCCATAATGGCTTTTGAAATCACGGGGTCATGTACCGCATTGAGACGATAGATTACATAGCCCGCATGCCCCAAATCTACCCCAATATATTGAGGTAAGCCCATACCTCTTTTTTGCACTTTCTCGAGTTCAGGTGACGATGCTGTATCGGCCTTTTTTTCCTCAGAAGGAATAGTGGCACTTGCAGCATTGGCTTTAAAAATGGCTGCGAGTGCAGGAGCAGGTAATGCCCCTGTATTGGCACGAGACACCGTTATCGGAGCAGAAAACCCAGAAGGTACTGCGTGCGCGCTTTTGGACATTGCCTGTAAGGCAACAAGCTTTGCTTGACCAGCGGCTCTAGCACGTTCACCAGCTTGGACTGCCATAACTTTGGCCCTAACCTGACGCTCCACCTTATTCAACGGCTTTTGCGTTCTGGGGGTATAACGTAGCACGCGCGCTGCAATTAGCGTGTTATTTCCCAAATCCAGCGCAGCAGTATTGTGTTTGGATTTTAAAACCTCTTCGCTAAATACTGCATTGAGTAAAGCGGGTTGATTCAGTGCATTCTCTGCTGCAAGCCCTAAGTTGGGTGTACGCGCTACGGTTGCAGTTTTACGCGTTAAATGAAATTTCTCTGCAGCCGGCGCAAGACTAGTAGATTGCTCATAGAGCAGATCAGAAAATTCAGAAGAAGCTTCTGAGAAGCGCCGCGCTGCTTCTTGTTTTTTCAAAATAGCAGCAATACGCGTTTTCACTTCGGCAAATGCAAGCGTGACGGCCGGTTTGCGATCTATTAACTGGATTAAGTGATACCCAAATTGAGATTGCACCACCTCACTGATTTCACCAGGCTTTAAGCTAAACGCAGCAGCCTCAAATGCGGGATCCATTTGACGACGGCCAAAGTAGCCTAAATCCCCGCCTTTAGTAGCAGATCCTGGATCTTGAGAGTATTTCTTCGCCAATGTGACAAATTGCTCAGGATGGGCTCGCAATTGGGCTAATAAAGCTTCAAGCCTAGCCCGCACAGCAGGCTCATCTTCCGCCTGATTTTGTGCAGGTATTAATAAAATATGACGAGCACGCACCCGCTCTTCATTTTTATAGTCTGCAAGATGCGCCTGGTAGTACTTCTCAAGATCGGCTAAAGAAGGCTCGCTAGGGGTAAAAGCATCGGGGCTTAATGTGATGTATTCAATAAACGCCTGCTCAGGCTGTACAAAGTCTTCGGCATGACTCTCGTAATACGCTTTTAAATCTGCTGGGCTAGGAGGTACATTTTTAGGGTCTTTAGGATCAGCCGACGCAAAATGCATGGCCTGTACTTCACGTTGCTGCCCTGAAGCTATTAAAAAGGGGGTAACTAAAGCCTGCGGTAAAAATGCGGTTTCTACGATGCTTTGAGTGAGTTGCCCGGCAGCGAGTATCGTGCGCACTCTTTCATCAAGATCCTCAGGGGTCATACCCTGCGCGGCTAGTAATTCACCATAGGCCTTTACATCAATAGACCCATCTGGACCCCGCAACTTTGCAATCGCTGGAACGCTCAATAAAGCTCGACGCACCGTATCATCTGGAACACTCAAATGCTGCTTTTTCGCCTCTTCTGCAATCAAACGCTGTTCTATAAGGCTCTCAAGTACTGCATGTTGAAAAGCAGGAGTATTAATTGCTTGAACATCAAAGCCGCCGCCTAACATGCTGCGAATTTGCTGCAAGCGCTCTTGCAACACGATGTTGTATTCCCGATAGGTAATTTTGTTGCCATTGACACTAGCCACATCAGGGCCCGCACCAGATGCATGGCGCGCGCCCTGAATACCCACCAAACCCAGACCTGGCAAGATAAAAAGCGCGAGCAATACTTGCATCAAACGTTTATGGCTACGGAAGAAATCAAGCATGAGAAACAAAGATCCAAAAGGGACAAAAAAACGGCGCTCTAAGAGCGCCAAAGGCAGTAGAGCCTAAGAACCTGTTTAGTATCTCCCAAAAGGGCTCATCTTCGGGGTCGTGGGGTGCAAGGTATTCACTGTACTTAAGTACAGTTCCGGTCCCTGTGCTCCTGCTCCCCCAAATATGAACCCTTTTGGAAAATACTAAACAGGTTCTACGTCTTTATCGTCGACAACCTCTCTCTACGATTTGCCAAAAAGGCACTTCACAGATTAGAAAAGCGTGTTTAAGGGAATAAAGAAAAATAAGGGAAAAATGCGCTGCGCTTTAAAAGCATAAGCGCTAAAGGAATATAAAAAAAGGGGCGTAAAAGCCATATGACAGGTAAGTGATGATTGGGTGGTGGGTGCTGAGAGGCTCGAACTCCCGACCTAAGCCTTGTAAGGGCTCCGCTCTACCAACTGAGCTAAGCACCCCCGATCAATCTACTTACACAGCAACACTGGTGTGCTGTTTTTAGAAGCTGCGCAGTCTACTGTATTTACTGGTATTTTGTCACGCCTAAATTGCATTTTTTTACGTTATTTCATACTATTTTTTTGGCCTGAGCTGTGGATCATGGCTCAGGCTGAGCTAGATTCTCTATTCCCCTAAATTCAAAATTGCCAAGAAAGCCTCTTGTGGAATCTCAACGCCGCCTACCTGCTTCATGCGTTTTTTCCCTGCTTTTTGCTTTTCTAGCAATTTCTTTTTACGAGTAATATCGCCACCATAGCATTTTGCCAACACGTTTTTGCGCATAGCTTTGATATTTTCGCGGGAAATAATCGTCGCCCCAATTGCTGCTTGAATGGCGACATCGAACATCTGCCGCGGAATCACTTCACGCATTTTGGCAGCGATTTCACGTCCGCGAGATTGGCTTTGAGAGCGATGTACGATCAAAGAAAGGGCATCCACTTTCGTGCTGTTGATCAGCATATCGATTTTGACAACATCTGCTGCAGCATATTCTTTAAATTCATAATCCATCGACGCATAGCCTCTGGAGAGGGACTTTAAGCGATCGAAAAAATCAAGCACGATCTCTGCCATCGGAATGTCATACGTCAATTGCAATTGACGGCTGTGATATTGCATATTGATTTGCACGCCCCGTTTTTGCGTACAGAGCGTCATCACTTGGCCTGCATACTCTTGCGGCAAATATACATTCAAGCGGACAAGCGGTTCCCGAATCGTGTCGATTTTTGACGGATCAGGCAATTTAGAGGGGTTTTCAATTTTTAAAACGCTACCGTCGCGCTGCACCACCTCATAAATAACGGTGGGCGCCGTGGTAATCAGGTTCATGCCAAATTCACGCTCGAGCCGTTCCTGCACAATATCCATATGCAGCAAACCCAAAAAGCCGCAACGAAAGCCCATACCAAGCGCCTGTGAAGATTCAGGCTCATAGAGCAAGGAGGCATCGTTGAGTTGCAATTTCTCAAGCGATTCGCGCAGTGCTTCATATTGATTGGATTCAATGGGGTATAGCCCTGCAAAAACTTGTGGCTTTACCTCTTTAAAACCCGGAAGCGGGCTACTTGCTGGGTTGCGTACATGCGTAACCGTATCGCCTACTCGCGCAGCTTTAAGCTCTTTGATACCGGCAATAATAAAACCTACCTGCCCAGCACTAAGGGTCGGACGGTCGGAAGCTTTAGGCGTGAATTCTCCAATACGCTCAACCAAAAATTGTGCGCCGCTGGCCATAAAGCGAATAGCATCTTTTGGTTTTAAAGTGCCTTGTACTACGCGTGTCAACACTACCACGCCTACATACGGGTCAAACCAAGAGTCTAGAACCAGCGCTGCTAGAGGTGCTTGCGGATCCCCAACTGGAGCCGGAACTTGCGCAATCAAGGCTTCTAATACATCCTCGACCCCTTGGCCCGTTTTAGCGCTGCATCGCACTGCTTCAGTAGCATCAATGCCAATTACATCACCAATCTCTGCAATAGCATTTTCGGGATTAGCCGATGGCAAATCGATTTTATTGAGCACAGGCACGACTTCCACACCTAATTCCAGTGCTGTATAGCAATTTGCTACAGTCTGTGCCTCGACCCCTTGGCTCGCATCTACGACCAATAACGCGCCCTCGCAAGCGGATAAAGAACGGCTCACTTCATAGGAGAAATCAACGTGCCCTGGCGTGTCGATCAAATTTAATTTGTAGATCTCGCCATTGCGGGCTTTGTATTGGAGTGAAGCCGTTTGGGCTTTAATCGTAATGCCGCGCTCACGCTCGAGCGCCATGGAGTCGAGCACCTGTGATTCCATTTCACGATCGGAGAGCCCACCGCATAGCTGAATAATGCGATCAGCCAATGTCGATTTACCATGATCGATATGCGCGATGATCGAAAAATTACGGATGTTTTTCATTAATGGATGGTGTCCAACAAAGGCTGCAGCTTTTTTGAAATAATTTCTCGTGCCCGGAAAATACGGGAACGCACTGTCCCTACAGGGCATTTCATGATGCGTGCGATTTCTCGGTAACTTAAACCTTCCATCTCGCACAGCATCAGAGCTATACGCCGCTCTCGAGATAAAAAAGCGAGTGCATCGCTCAATGCCTGCTCTATTTGCTTATTGATTAATGCTAACTCAGGAGTATTAAAATCCTGCAGCGCGTACTCAGATTCTTCTAGCCGTTCAGGGTCACCATCTTCTCTAGACAAATGCGAAAGCCCTAACCGTGTGCTGGCAGCCAAATGATTTTTGGCTGTATTAATAGCAATCCGGTATAGCCACGTATAAAAAGAGGAATCTCCCCTAAAATTTGGCAAAGCCCGGTAAGCTTTAATAAACGCATCTTGCACAATATCGTCTATCTCATCCGAATAGCGCACAAAACGCGATACCAAGCGCATCACTTTACGGCGATATTTGATGACCAGTATGTTAAAAGCCGCTACTTCCCCCTCTTGGAAACGTAGAACTACTCTACGATCAGACTCTTTTTCATTCACTCCCCGCTCCTATCACACCCCTAGTGGAGCGATCATATTGAGCGGGCTGAAGTCAAAAAAATAAGAGCAGGAAGTCGAAAATATCAAGAGAAGATGCTGAAAATGCGGGTTCTATCTAAATACGCTTAAATAACAAAGTACCGTTTGTCCCACCAAACCCAAATGAGTTGGAGAGTGCTGCTTCTATTGGCATTTCACGGGCTGTATTTGCACAATAGTCCAGATCACATTCAGGATCAGGGTTCACTAGATTAATTGTGGGTGGTGCTATTTGTTTTTGGATTGCCAATACAGTAAATACCGCTTCAACTCCGCCTGCTGCACCCAATAAATGCCCAGTCATCGATTTAGTGGAACTGACCACAGGAATAGAACCAGACTGAAAAACCTGCTTCACAGCCATGGTCTCTGCAATATCCCCCAAAGGCGTCGAAGTGCCATGGGCATTGATGTATTGCACCTGATCAGCACGCATACCCGCATTTTTAAGTGCACTCACCATACAACGCGCTGCACCCTCTCCATTTTTACTGGGTGCTGTCATGTGATACGCATCACCAGTGCGTCCATAGCCTGCTAGTTCACAATATATCGCTGCGCCACGTGCTTTAGCATGTTCATATTCTTCTAGAACCAATACTCCAGCACCTTCGCCAAGCACAAAACCATCACGGTCACGATCAAAAGGCCGACTAGCTGCTGCGGGATCGTCGTTGCGCGTAGACAAAGCGCGCAAAGCGGCAAACCCACCCAGACCTAACGGCGATACCGTAGCCTCGGCTCCCCCTGCGACCATAACATCTGCATCACCGTATTCAATAATACGCATCGCTTCACCGATGGAATGGGTACCCGTTGTACAGGCCGTCACGATCGCGAGGTTGGGTCCTTTAAGGCCAAAATGAATCGATAGATGTCCAGCAATCATATTAGTAATCGAAGCAGGCACAAAAAAAGGCGTGATCCGCTTTGGGCCACGCTGCAGATATTCTGTTTGCGTAGCTTCAATTAATGGCAAACCGCCTATGCCCGAACCAACTATAACTCCAATACGCTCTGCATTTTCTTCTGTAACAATTAACCCGCTATCTGCAAGAGCTTGCGCACCTGCTGCAAAACCATAATGGATAAAGGTATCCATATGTCGCGCTTCTTTGGCTGGCAAATAATCACTGACCTGAAAATCCTTGACTTCGCCTGCGAAACGGCAAGAAAAAGCACTGGGGTCAAATTTTGTAACTGTGGCAATGCCTGAGCGCCCTGCAATCAGGTTAGCCCACCCTTGGTCGACAGTATTGCCTACAGGCGAAATATGTCCCAAACCGGTTACCACGACACGGCGACGATTCACGGCATTCCCTCTTTATCAAGTTGATTTCAGATTCATAACATAGGGCGTGTCCTCAATTGCCCCAAAGGGCCCATCTTCGGGACAATTGAGGACACGCCCTACAACAACACTGCGCATTCTCATCACAATGCTACTTAAAATTTGGAGCGCATTCTAACGCAGATCCTTAATGATCGGTTATGCGCTAACAAAAAGCCACAGCACCCATGACATAAATGACGTGGGTGCTGTGGCTAAGCTTTACTGCATGCGTTAAATTACCCTGCAGCCTTTTCGTGCGCACGAGCGTAATCGATCGCATTTTGCACAGTGGTAATCTTTTCAGCTTCTTCGTCTTGGATTTCAATACCGAATTCATCTTCAAGAGCCATCACTAGTTCGACGGTATCTAAAGAATCTGCACCCAAATCATTCACAAAGGAGGCTTCATTCTTAATTTCTGCTTCTGGCACACCCAATTGCTCAGCAACAATTGCCTTTACACGCTTTTCAAAATCGCTCATTACTATCTCCACAGTCATTTGAGAACCAATCCAATTTCCAAAAGTGCTTTTTTAAAGGAGAGTTAAGCGTGCACAGACCAAAGCGGTACTTTTAAGCAGTACGGCTAAGAACCTGTTTAGAGTCCCCCCGAAGATGGGCCCTTTGGGGGGACTCTAAACAGGTTCTAAGATCTCTCTACGCTACCCCATCAAAAAGAAAAGGCGCTTTTGGAAATTGCAGACTGGTTCTACTAAAATAAAGTCGCGCATTCTAGCAGAGGTTTATAAAGGGAAAAGAGAAGAAAGAGGGCCTTTTTCCTAAAAACACTCGCGATTGAGCGCGACTATTAGAGGTATTAAAGGAATCAACCGGTCTATTCGACTCAGATTTTCCTCAAACACCAGCCTACTACTCTAACCGCCAACCCACATTCCTCCATTCACATGTAAGGTCGTACCTGTGATGTAAGCAGCTTGCGGCGAAGCCAAGAAAGCGACAGCATGTGCAATATCGGCAGGGCTTCCTAAGCGGCCAAGCGGGATTTGATCTAACAAGGCGCTGCGCTGCGCTTCTGAAAGGGCTTGAGTCATGTCGGTATCAATAAAGCCAGGTGCCACAC